CCCCAAGTGTGAATCACTTGAGATTCGAACCCGGGATCTTTGGTCATGGAGTTTGACGCTCTACCATTGCGCCACGGGCCCATTGTTCTGTCGGTTGTGATCGGGAATAGTAATTATGACAGTGGGCGCTCGCCGATCAGGTTACGGAACATGCTCGTTCCGTTGTGCCTTGGGGCTCATACTGTGCGACTGCCTGCGAGGGTTCTAGTATGAGCACCAAGGCACAACGGAACGAGCATGTTCCGTAACCTGATCGGCGAGCGCCCACTGTCATAATTGATATTCCCGATCACAACCGACAGGACAATGAACCCGTGGCTCAATGGTAAAGCGTCAAACTCCATGACCAAAGATCCCGGGTTCGAATCTCAAGTGATCCACACTTGGGGTTGGGTATGACTGGCTGATGGCGGCTAATAAGCCAGAAATGGTCATTCCGGTCTCCCTTGTCTTTGTCGGTACCATCTCATCTATATCTACTATTAGTCGCTGTGCGACTGCCTGCGAGGGTTCTAGTATAAGCCCCAAGGCACAACGGAACGAGCATGTTCCGTAACCTGATCGACGAGCGCCCACTATCATAATATATATATATATATATATATATATATATATATATATATATACCAACATGAGTGGTGATTCGAGGTCCTGATAAATTATGCCGTTCATCATCCCCAAAAGAAAACGAAGAATTAAAATGGGCGACTGAATGGATCACACTTTACTGGTGCTGACGTTTCGGAAACGTCCCCATTTCCACCATCAGAGTGGTAGGTTGTCTGTTCCTGCTGACGCGGAGTTGTGCTGTCTCGCCGCCTGCCTTTTTTTATAGGCGTGCCTGACGCACGAACTCTGATCTGACTTCTGTCTGGGGATTGGCTCGGGTCCCTCCGCGGACGGCCGATGGCGCGATCCTGTGACCTCTGCTCCCTGACCGGCTGTCGTAGTCGCTGCAAAAATATGTGTGCCCGTGGGCCCTCCCCCCATGATAATCGAAAGGGCTGGTTGGTTGCCGTTGCATGTACGAATCACAATCGGCTGTTTGGGCGCGCCGGTGGGTCGCTGTTGTTCACAGACTGCGGAACATGATTCATGGGCATTATACGAGCACCTAGCAGAACCCTTTTTATGGGTATGCAAATTTTGACCGGAGAATCCACACAGAAAGTAGGTTGTTTCCTAATGGGTAGGTAGTGATACTGCCCCCTGTAACGGACCACGCGGTAGACGTGTTGGACCAATTTAGGGGTCAGATCGAGGTCCGGCAGGCGTTATTGGGAATAGAATCTCATGAGAAATCATTGCATTGGGATACGTGCCGTCCCTCTCCCCTCCCCTCCTTGGTTTACTGGTGTAAAATCATGGTCAGTGTAAGTTGTGAATCAGAGGATGTGGTGGTACATCTAGGTGCAGGTTTTCGCCGTGCCAACCACCTGCGCCTTCTCCCGCTTCCGGTCTTCTTGGCTTTGTCTCGAACCGGGCCCAGGTGAAAGAGGAGGATAGAGTGCAGTAGATGCGACACAAGTCTACTATCACTATACACTAACTCACGCGCAAGTCATGTCCCTGCTCTCCGCCCGTTCTGGGGCCCACGGTGGACATCGCCGGTCATGACGGTCGAACTGTCAGGTGGTGACAAACGTTTTTTTAACCAGAGTACTTCTGTCTGTTTGGCTCAAATGGGGCACAAAAACCAGCACTTAGTCTACCCGTGAAGCGACCGTACAGCCAAATTTGATTGTGGTAGCTGCCGAATAAGTAACGCATGTGCCAAGGACGATAAACCCGAAGTCGCAACGCCACCGTGTAAGTTGTGACCTTGGGACTCCCCTTCCTGTACTCGGTCTCGTAACTCCATCTGGACGATCTTTTGCATACATACGTAAACATACCTACAAACACCGGCCAATATTTGATGGATTCCGGTGCAAAGTGCGCAGGCCCTATTTGCTCACCGGTCAGCACTGGTTGACGGCGCCTGCATAAATCCACTATTTACAGGGCTCGGGGCACTAGTCTCAAATGTATTAAGAGCCTGGTTGGGAAAGGGTCACCTCGAGTGAAAACCGAAAAATACACATGTTAATACAAGCAAAGATGCGAGTTCCAGGAACCAGTTGATAAGAAGAAGCGATCGCCGAAACAAGGGAACAATTTACGATGGAGGAGGAAGAAAATAGCCAGCTGGCCTTCATTGATGTCCTCGTCTGTCGCAAAGATTGTGGTGGACTAAAAACTAAGGTGTTCAGGAAAGGGACGAACATAACGCAAATATTGAACTTCAACAGCAACTATCCAATCAGCCACAAACGCAGTTGTGCAAGGACGCTCTATCGGCGCGTTGAGACGCACTGCAGTGAGCCGAAAGACAAGATTTCCGAACTACAATACCTCCGACGGGTCTTTAGAACCAATAGCTGCCCGCAGAACGTCGTCAACCGGTGCATGGGCAAGCGATACGAACGACAAAGCGTACCGATCCCAAATTCTGGCGAGCGACACCCTACATCAAGAACGTCTTTGAGGCCGTTAGTCGCCTTCTCGCACCACTTGGGGTTGGAGTTGCACACAGACCGGAGACCACCACAAGGCGTCAGGTGATGAGACCAAAAGACCCACTGCCACGACAAGAAACATCTGGAGTCGTTTGCCGGATCTCGTGCAGTTGCGGGCAAAGCAGCTACGTCGGACAAACTGGAGGACTGCTCCGGACGCGAATTGTCGAGTACGCGGCAGCGGTGCGGAGAAATGACGCCAACTCTCAGGTCGCGGTCCATATGACGAGACCCGGCCACACATTCAAGTTCGATGAGGCCGAAATTCTCGCGAGAGGGGATAATCGCGTGAGTCGCCAGTTGCTTGGGTCGTGGTTAATGGGACCTTAGTGTATTAACAAGTGCAACGACACCCCCGCTTCGTATTCCGTGCGGAGGCATGGGCTGGACAAAGTAATTGACCACTCCGGAAGAGAGCAAGCCGATGAGCTAGATGACCGAGCCATCTTCACGCCAGCATCCAACACGGGTGATGAGATTTCAGCAATTAAAAACTGGCATGTCGACCATCAAGCAACTAGCGCACCAGCGAGCAACAATTTTTAATGAGGGGGAGCTCGGTTAATTGCTGTAGGTATGCGGTAGCATAGCGACTGCATACTATAAATACTGCAACTTCCTGTGTACGAGTCACCCGTCTCTGCCACTGTCTCTGATGACGGTCACTGATCATGTATGTCAAAAAGCGTCGTGATTTAGGGTGTAGGACTTTTTTCGTAACATTGAGGTATTCCGAGTTAATTGGGGTTGTGGCCGGGTCTCGTCGAATGGGCCGCGACTTGAGAGTTGGCGTAATTTCTCCGCACCGCTGCCGCATACTCGACAATTCGCGTCCGGAGCAGTCCTCCAGTTAAAAGAATCCGTGGTTTCTGATTTGTGCGACCCGCATGGAACTTGTTTGAAACAGGCATTGTTTAAGTAAACGTCGTTCAGTATCTGGATTTCGATATCGCTATCTCCTCAAGAGGTTGGTCACCGTAGATCAAAACTTAGTTTTACTTTAAGTGACGACTGTTTACTGGAGTAACTAAGCCGTTCGGACAGTTTTGTAACTATTTGCTTGGTCACAATTCATGTCTTAGTATTAAAAGCAATTCTAATGTCATCATGTTCTCTTCAAATCTTTTGCATAAATGAATGAAATCAATATTTCCGGCAGACTAATGTTCCCCCGCAGGATCAGGCCAGGAAAACGCCGTTACACACGCTGAAGTTCGGAATAAGATGAATTTGCGCGTATTTCATCCTGCATTCCTTTCTCTTCATATAGGCAGAATGGCATTATCGACAAAGACAAGAGAGACTGGAATGGCCATTTCCGGCTTATTAGCCGTCTTCTGCCAGTCATACCCAACCCCAAAGTGTGGAGCACCTGGGGCTCGAACTCGCGACCTGTTGGCTAGAACTCCAGCGCCTCTAACTACTGGGCCACGAGCCCGTTGTCCTGTCGGTTCCGATCGGGAATGAGAGGGGGTGTTGGGTATTGTCAATAGAAGCGAAAAGACGAATGCCAGGAAGTGAACTTGAAGGAGACACGATCGCTGGGACAAGACCTTCATTAGACTGACGTTTCGGATTCCTGCTGTTGTCTGTGAGGATGGGTTCGAGCAGGAATCCGAAATGTCAGGCTAATAAAGCTCTTGTCCCAGCGATCGTGTCTCCTTCTTCAAAACACAGATGTTTCCAGTCAGGATTCGAGTAAGTTAACCTCTGTCATCTCGACTCCCCCTAGGTAGGACAATCTTCAGTCGACTTCGGCTTGTTCGCGCCTGCCGCAAAAAAACCAGAACAGTACAACATAATTCAGCATCTTCCGCCCTTGGTTGATGAATACTGGTGTTTATGAGAACAATCTGATTGGAAATTATGATATGTACACACAACGTAATGTGGCGCAAAGTACAAATACACAAACACACACATTGATGTCTCAAGATATTACCTTTGAAGGTAAATTCTGCCGCAAAAAGCAGTGGCAGTGAAGGTTAGAGGGGTAAAAGTGGTAAGAAGCAACCACCGATGTGGGGACAGGGAATTCACGAGACATGCTCGCGGAGGGAGGGAGGGAAAGAAAGTTGAATAATCACAGGCCAAATCCTGAGCGCAGACCAGAAAGGCTCCGAGACGGGGGCGTCCTTCAATGGAGGTCCTTTTCAGCATCCGGGAGGAGACAGAGTACCGGCAGAGCAAAGTAAAAGGCAGGGAAAGGGTGAAGTAAACAAGTGTTAAAAGGACCTCGAACCGGGCGTCGGCTTAGATATATCGCAGGGAGTCGATGAAGTCTCCAGACGAAAGAGGGGTCTCAGAGTGTCGACAAGAAAGAGTTGGATGTCGGAATGCTCAGCACAAAATGGGCGCATAGAAGCACTCCTAACATGCGTGTGCAGTCAGGGGAGTATAGACAAGAGTAAAATATACATCTGCGCCCAATAAACGAGACGTTCAGGTGGGCTGCTGTTGGGCTAGATAGCTCTCTTCATCATACTCCGATGGGTGCATCTGTTGGTAATGTTTAATTTGTTCCAAAAGGCCCGGCGGTCGGCCATAAACACCAAACTTTCGATGCACCACGCGAGGCGGACACTCAGGTATGATCAGGGCCTGTGGGGAGGTAGAGGAGACTGTATGGAAGTAGTCCGGTGTGGTCGAGAAATCCACCGTAGCCTGTGATGGCGACAACGACGTCGGCTGCAGGCCTGCACCAGTCTCCATCACCTGTGGCAGCTGGGCAAAGGCCGGGGTATTATAGTAATTTCTAGAAGGCTGGGTACAGCAGGGCGGCGAACTGGCAGAGAATAACTGGGAGTGTGGAGTGGGGATATCGATACCGGTGTCATCGCTGGCGCATCCATCCAAGTCGGCCGGTTCGTAGCGCATAGCCGGATGCGGACCCGGTGGGT